TAAAGATAAATGGCTTCAATTTATAGAGTGTTTAACTTTCAGAAAGTCCTCCTGAGTGTTTTGCCACAAAACTCATCTTGTGAGACGGCAGAGGCCATACGTATCTGAGATGTTTTTCACTGCCAAGTGCAGCTGACACAGGTGGAAGTGTTCACCACCCTCATGCGAAGGGGTCTCAGGATAGTGATGCAGCGGCTCCAGGACTGTCAATAATGTCACACAAAGAGCTCACCAAGCCCCAAGTTCTTTCCAGCTTTCTGCTCTGCATTCTTAGCAAGCCAGAAGCTCCCCTCTCTGTCACAAAATAGCTCCAGCTGGCAGCTCCAGGTGTCAGAAGAGAAAAAGTGTCTCTCCATTTTATAAGACAGAGGTAAACGTCTCAGACACCTCCCGGTAAATGTCCCCTTACACCCCAGTAGGGCCACAAGCCCATGCCTAGCCAGTCCTGACTGAAGAAATGCAATTTTTCTGATGGACTTTGTCTGCTGAGGATTTTTCCCCTGGAGGCGGGGAGGGTCCAGGAAACACCTTATCACAGTGCTTGAGAAAAACCTGGGTTCTGTTGGCAGGAGGAGGGGGCAACGACTCCTGCATGAGCAGCTAACGGTGCCTGCCACATATCCTTTCAAAAGGGAAAACAAAGATTGAGAACCTTGCAGAGCCAACACCTCTCCCAGCAGCACCACATTAAACTAGTGTCAGCTTATACAAATGCAACAGTTAAGCTTTACAATACCCTCAGCTCTGAACACCTATGCTCCTGCATCTGCTGCCATTAACCCTATCAGATGTCTGGTTATGAACAGCCTTGTTGTAATTAATCCCAAGTTCTAAATTGTATTTCTAAACAATTATGAAACAAAGCATAAAGCTAGGGCGGGGCTGCACAGAACAGGAACAGAGACCAAAATAGGGCCAGAAGAGGTCCCAGCGGTGAGTAGTACAGTACTGGCAGGGAAGAAGGAGCCCAGCCAGTGGCCCTTCACGCACCCCCCAGCACTGATCCCAGGTGTCCCTGGCAGGGTTGTGAGGTTGAGAAAGAAAGCAAAATGGGTACACAATCAATAGAAAACAAGTAGCTGTCAGACCAGAGGAAGTCAGACCCCACGGCCTTATCCAACTCTTAAATTCCCCTGTCAGGCAGGTCTTGTTCATGGTGAACGTTTCCACTAGCAGCACCTGCAAGACTTGGCTTGTGTCCACTCCTTCACCTGTGTGCTCCTCTGATGTTGTACTTGCAAAGGGTGGTTTCAGTCAGGGCCAGCACAGAAAGGAGGGACACACAGGTATAAGGGCCCCATCCTCACAGGTTGGGTGGTTCTTAATCCCATTAGATATTGATCTTCAGGATCTAGGAACAAGAAATAAGAATTCCTGGTAATTACTGGGAACCCCCAAATCAGAAGTTATTGTGCATTTTTTAAAAGCACTTTATTTGTGTGTTTTAAAATAATAATGAGTGGCTATAATAATAAACAATTGTTTGGGGAATCAGGATTATCACAGGGGCTTTCTGTTAGAAATACATAATCAACGCATGGTTGATTTTTATTATGAGCCAATACATTCTTTATCAAGATTATATACTTCAGTAAATTGTAAAAATGATCTCTCCCTGATATAGACATTGGATAATCAAAAACATTAAAAGAAGGAGATAATGACAGAAATAAATGCCAAATAAAAATCACTTAAAAATTAAAATATAATACCACAATATTTAATTTTTAATACTTAAAAGCTATCCTTCTTAAATAAATTTTAAAACCACAAAGCATTAACTGCCATATCCAAAAGTTTTGATGTCTTTTTCTGTGACAAATAGTCCAGACAGAGAATTTATTCCATCTTGCATTGACCTTTATCGAATTGGCAAGAGCATGGCCAAAAGCAACTTCAAGCTGGGTGTTAGCACAACTATTGCTTTCTATAAACTCATTCCCTTTTGTAATGATTAAAACACTTTATCTACTCAGTCCGACTTTGGTTTTTGTCTTCAAATTTGTTATTGTTTTTGTTAATTCAGATTTTAAAATCCATTTCTGATTTAATGTTATAGTATTCCTACAAAGACATTTGTGTCTTCTCTCTGCCTTTCTCTGTTCTAATACTTGCAAAGAACTGTCCCCAACAGTGAATATTTGAGCCATAATCATTTTGAGTAGTGATGGAACAAGATAACATCTGGATCTCCTACAAATGCTCCTCACAGCATCACACAGGATCACATGTCAAAATCGCAATTTAAGGACATAATTCACTTCCAAAACTTACTATTTCTGGGAACACCACCCATAAGGTATTCTATAGCTATAAATATTACTAATGTTTATTTTATTTGCAACAGTGGCTCACCATTAGCAGCAGACAGGGCAATGAATACTTTTCTCCGTGGCAAGACTGCAAGCAAGACCAATTGATGAGGCTCTGACTCTGCCGGCCTACCTGCTCTTGTCCAGGTTCCTGGGCACTTTGACCTTCACCTTCCAACTCCGTGGTTCAGCATTTCCTGCTCTGATTTTCTATTTGATATCAGTGAATTATTTCAAAGAAGTAATGTTTCTATGTTGATTGTTACCCTTAAATTCTCACAGGAGACTTGTAATACTTTTTACAGTGTTCCCATTTTCTCAACTGATTTTTCTCTGCATTTGGAAAAACATACACAATTCCTGTGAAATGCTGGAAAAGAATTTCCACCCAGAGGGGTGCCTGGGTGGCTCAGTTGGTTAAGTGTCTGACTTCGGCTCAGCTCATGATCTCACAGTTTGTGGGTTTGAGCCCCACGCTGGGCTCTGTGCTGACAGCTCCGAGCCTGGAGCCTGCTTTGGATTCTGTATCTCCCTCTGTCTCTGCTCTTTCCCCACTCATTCATTCTCTCTCTCTCTCTGTCTCTATCTCCCTCTCTGCCTCTCTCTCTTTCTCTCTCTCTCAAAAATAAATAAACATTTAAAAATTTTTTTAAAAAAAGAATTCCAACCTAGAATAGACCCACCAGGCACAGGCTGGTCAGTCCAAGTCAGACCCTGGACAAGAATCTCTTGAGACCTTTTCCCAGAGCTCATGGCAGGAGGGCATGAGGACCCAGTGCACCCACTTTTCACTCAGTATCTCTCCCTTGGCTGCCATCCATGGTTTCATGATTCCTGCCCCATCTGTCCAGTCCATTCACACCCAAACTCACCCAGACCTGCCTACTGCTCCCCTACCTCTTCTGCTCAAATTTACCCTCTGGCTTCTCTCTATAATCCCAGCCCCCACACACAAAACCTCCTCTTCTCACATTCCAATTTTCTGAGCAAAATCAGTATCAGCCATGAGTTTGGTCTGATCACCACTGTGACAATTTAATTAAAGCAATTCAGACTATAAGGTATAAATGATACATAAATGTCCACTTACTTTCATTATGATGCTGAAAAGATCACTTCATCATACTGAGCCTCAATTTTTTCATCTATAAAATGGAGATAAAAATTCCTAGCTCACAATATTTTTGAGAAGATGGAGTAATATAGGTAAAGCAAAGAGCTAAGTGCCTCCCTCTCCAAAGAGGACAGTATTAAATTTTAAAGGAAGAGCTTTTGAGTAAAAAAAGAGTTTTGTATCAGCTACTGGAGCCCCCAGGAACAGAATTAGCTGTATTTGCAAATCCAAACACAATGGGGGTGTCTGCGGAGGCTTCTCCTCTCCTTCCCCAAAAGGCCCAAATTCACTAGCCAAACATCGATTCCAGTAACTTCTCCCTCTGCAGGTTTCCAAAGTAAGAACTGGATGGGGAGGCTCAGCCCACCAACCCAAAGCCTAGCCCACCACTGCTGCCTCCAGCCTGGCCTGAACTAAATGCTCAATAAATGTTTACCAAATTGAATTTCCTTCTCCCTGGATTAATCATGGCAGCAGCAAGGAGCTGGCCCCCTCTGGGGTGGCTCCAGTGCCCACAAGCTTCATGAGTCATGTCTTGGAAGGCCTTGCTGCAGCCACCCCCCTTCCTTTGCCTCTGACCTCTCCTGCTTCTTCAGCATGTTTATGGACATAATTACAGCGTGCTATTGATTTCCTGACAGCCGCCTTGATGTAACTATTTTAGAGAATCAAGCTAATTTCATACATTGAGGTTTTTATGGTCTCTGGCAGACTCAACCCTAGAAGTCATTTTGTCTCCTCCTAGGGCACTCCTGCCGCTTCTCAGAAACTGCTTCTCCTTGCCCTGCCTTCCCTGAAGCCCAGCTGGGCTGCCTTACATCCACACCCAGTCTTCTCCTTGCCTCTACATTCCCATGGTCACACGATTTGGCCATGCCAGGGGGAAACAGGGAGATGTGGAGGCCTCAGGAAGTCAGAGTGGTGGGTAAATCCAGGGGCAAAGATGGGACCCAATTATACCTCTAACTTTAACAGCCTGTGTCTGCCCCCTTAGTTCCCTGTTACACTCTGAATGCATTCCCAGGCCCCTTCTTCCCTACCTGCCATTTACTAATTTATATTGCAGGATCTTTTAAGAGATATAATCTTATCTAATTTTCATATCAATCCTCTGTGCTATTATGTCCATTTTACAGATGTAAACCTACAGAAAATGAGAGTAGAAAAGTAAAACAGCCTGGTAATATAAAATGTTAACAAGGAGCATATGAACACCCTTCACAAGAAGGATCCCCATGGCTATTTCTTCTTCTTTTGGAGATACAGAGTTTCAAAGCCAAGATTTAAACAATGAGACTTCTCCTGCCAGGCCCTTTCCTCCACAGGGAGTCCTCCTCGCTGCCCTTTTTCATTTCTGTATGTTCACTTCCCCTTTACACAGCCTGGTCTTGGCCCTATTCTTACACACCTGAATATGGTCCTCCCCTGTCCACCCACCCAGCTCACACCTGTCCTCAAAGGACCTCCTTGAGTCTGCCTCCACCAGGAAGCCTTCCCTTATGAATCCATCTTTTGGTGACTCTCCTTAATATGAACATAGTGGACACATTGTCTATAATATTAGATAACAAATGTACATAAGTAGACATTTAATAAAGTTGTTTCATTCTCAGAAGTCCCATAGTATAGTGTGTGTGGGTTGACTGAATCGCCACCATCCATTTGCTGATCGATGTAAATGTTCCAATTTCCCACAAGCTTCCATCCTCTTATTTGGGGAGATAGGACACCAGGGAAGTTGAGTTCACCCCTGGTTCCAAAAGTAGAATCCAAGGCTAAGGCCAGGCCAATCAGTCACCATGTGACGTAAGGTGGTCCAATCAAAGGGAACATGTAGACTGTTACCAGATGCTCTGAGAGAGACTTCCTCTTTCCTGTGGGATACAAAAGAGAGGAGAGAGTCAGAGCCAATACCAAAGAAGAAGTCAAGAAATGGAGAGAGAAAGTAAGTCAAGGTCAAGCCATGTTGAGCTGCAAGATCAAGCCTTACCTGAAGCTGACAAGCTCTTTCTCATACTTTTCAGTTGGATGTGCCAATTCATTTCTCTTTGCTTAAACCAGTTTCAGTCAGAACCTATAGCTCCAAAGGGATGCTAGTGCATGTACCTAAATAGTGATGTTTGTTCTAGAACAGTGTATATCAACCTAGAGGCAGCATAACTCTCCATTCAGAGCTCTTAGTTTTTATTTATTTTTAATATGAAATTTATTGTCAAATTGGTTTCCTCATATGTGAAAAGAGTGTAATGATAGCACCTGAATTATAGGTATTTTGTGAGAATTAAATAAAGTATTTCATGTGACACCTGACATACAGAAAGAACTCAGTTTGGGACCAGGTGGGTTTGAGATGCTTATGGCTATTCAGGAGAATGAAACAGTGGGCATTCTTGGCTGTGGGAGTCCATCCTGTATAGGGATGCAGGATGTAGAGTAGCATTCCTGGCCTCTACACACTAAATGCCAGTAGCACCCTCACCCCACTGGTCTTTACAACCAAAACTGCTTCCAGACATTTCCAAATGTCCCCAGGGGAATAAGATCACCCCCATCAAGAATCACTGCCTCACGGTATTTCATTATTGTATGTAGCTAGAATGTACAGAACACTGTTATATGATGCTAGTCTCCTGTATCTTTCCACTGTTGAAACTTTAATGGGAATTTCTTTTGTATTTCACCATCACATCTAATACTGAACTATTAGTTTGATTTGTTTAACTTAATTTATATTTTTAATTTATACTTTTTAATTTTAATTTAATTTAATTTTAATTTTAATTTTTAATTTATATTTTTAATTTACATCTAAGTTAGCATACAGTGCAACAATGATTTCAGGAGTAGATTCCTTAATGCCCCTTACCCATTTAGCCCATTCCCTCCTCCCACAACCCCTCCAGCAACCCTCTGATTGTTCTCCATATTTAAGAGTCTCTTATGTTTTTGTGCCCCCCCCCATGTTTTTATATTATATTTGTTTCTCTTCCCTTATGTTCATCTGTTTTGTATCTTAAAGTCCTCATATGAGTGAAGTCATATGATATTTGTCTTTCTCTGGCTAATTTCACTTAGCATAATACCCTCCAGTTCCATCCACATAGTTGCAAATGGCAAGATTTCATTCTTTTTGATTGCCGAGTAATACTCCGTTGTGTGTGTGTGTGTGTGTGTGTGTGTGTGTGTGTGTGTGTGTATAAAGAAGATGTGGTATATCACATCTTCTTTATCCATTCATCCATCGATGGACATTCGGGCTCTTTCCATACTTCGGCTATTGTTGACAGTGCTGCTATAAACATAGGGGTGCATGTGCCCCTTCGAAACAGCATACCTGTATTCCTTAGATAAATACCTAGAAGTTCAATTGCTGGGTCATAGGGTAGCTCTATTTCTAATTTTTTGAGGAACCTCCATACTGTTTGCAGAGTGGCTGCACCAGTTTGCATTCCCACCAGCAGTGCAAAAGAGATCTTTCTCTGCATCCTCGCCAACATCTGTTGTTGTCTGAGTTGTTCATGTTAGCCATTCTGACAGGTGTGAGGTGGTATCTCATTGTGGGAGATTTGCATTTCCCTGATGATGAGTGATGTTGAGCATTTTTTGCTCAACATTTTATAAGTGATCTTACATTAATATTTATTAAATTTTTCCCAAGATATTTTTTAAATGGTTATTTTATCATATGTGTTTAGGGAATCAACTGAAGTTTTTTCTATCTCACTGATCCCTGGATTGTATTACTAGATTTCATAACATTAAATTATCCTTCCATTCCTCAGATAATGATTAACTAGACAAGTTATAGTATTCATTTCTTAATATTGCAGTAGTTGTGATTTGATGACATTTTATTTAAAGAAAGTAATTTCCATTCCATAAAATAAACTTGTGTTTAGTATTATGTTTTAGTTGTGTTTCATTATTAAGGTTATGTTGGTTTCATAAAATAATTTTGAAAGTTTTCTGTCTTTTTATATAATTACAAATGGTTAATTTCCTCCTAAAAATTACATATTTCTGGAGATTTGATCAACTAAGCTGATCAACAACATTAAGTGAAGAGCATTTGGGGGAAATTAATTCTACAGTAACTTTCTTTTTTTACAATTTCTTTAAGTTCTCTATTTTTGAGTCAATTTTGGTGATTAATATCTTGCTATAAAATTATGTCTTGTAATCAACATTTAAAAATAGTATAGAATACAATATATTAATCTCATGAAAAGCTTTATAACATCAGTATCTGTAGGTCCATCCACTTTCTAATATCTAACTTTGCACATTTCCTTTTTTCCTGTTAGGCTTTCTGGATTTACACACTACTATTCTAATTCAAGAAAGATTTCTCTGTTCTATGTTAAATCTCTGTGTGTTGTTTATTTAAATATTTAATTAAATATTTCATTTTTATTTAAATATGTTAATAAAACCATTTAGCCTATGAATTTACCCCTTTGTACAGCTTTGACTTTACCCCATAAACTTTTACATTAAGTGTCTATTTTTTGTTGCTTTATAGATTGCCAGTATTTCTTCTTTGACCCAAAATTATTAAGCAGAGCAGTTTTTAGTTTCCAAGATCTCACATGTGCCTTTTTAAAACCTTTATTTTTTTTCTCTATTCTTCATGTATGATGTTCTACATAAACATGGATTTTCAGTATTTAATGAGCTTTTCTTTAAATTTTTGTCGCTGTTCTAAGAATGGCTAAAAGAAAGGTTTATTATCTATTCGTGGATTAAAGTTTGTTATATATTTTTATTAAATAAAATTTATATATCTCATTTTCCATGTACTCTGCACCCACATTTATTTTTCACTTGCCTTATCTGCATTGTTCTGAGCAAAATACATGGTCTTCCACAAATATTTTTTGTTATTTTCTCATATTTTCTAATGATTTTGCTATAAATAGTCTGATATTAAATTATTTGGCATCATCTACTATTTGCTTGATGACTGCTACATTTTTATGCTGGATTTTATTTTCCAATTCAGTTGTTATTATATTGATATTGTCATTCTGGCATTTTTATATATTTTCCAGGTATCTTTTACCAAGCCTTTTATTTCTAATCTTTCCCTGTCAATCATTTTGTATTAGATTTGTGTCTTGTAAACAGCATATAGTTGACATTAATTATGTGGCCTAATCTGAGAGTCTATGTATTTTAATGGGAGGGTTGACCCTTTTATTTATTGCCATAATTGTATATCTGGATTTATTACTGTCATTACATTTTATTATTTCTGTCTATGGAACTTCCTGGCTTTTTCTTATTATGCTTGTTTTTTGCCTTGTAATTCTCCATTTTTAAAATTTCTATTTACTGGGGCACCTGGGTGGCTCAGTCAAACATCTGACTTCAGCTCAGGTCATGATCTCACGGTTTGTGAGTTCAATCCCCACGTCTGGCTGCTGACAGCTCAGAGACTAAAGCCTGCTTTGATTCTGTGTTCCCCTCTCTCTCTGCCTCCCATCCTACTCACACTCTCTCTCTCAAAAATAAAATAAATATTTTTTTAAAAAGCATTTAAAAATTTTCTATTTACTAAAAAGACTATGAATTATTCTCTTTGACTTTTTTTTCTCAAATAGTTTGGGGGATGGTCAAAAATATATTTTTAGCTCTTGGGAGTTTTAGAAAATAATTTTGAGCTTTATTTTTCCAATAGTCAATATCAAAAATAAAATAGTTTCTATCCACTTTTCCCTTGAAGATGAGGAAACTAGGATGCTTTTTACTACTTTCTACTCCTCTTTCACCCAATTTCTTTGTTTATTCTGGAATAAAATGGGGTATTAGAGCCCAATTCTGTTGAGGGTTTTTTTTTCCCCACTTTTGAGAATAACTTATTATTTTCCATTCCTCTTTATAGCCATGTTAACAAGAATTATTTAGACTTTACCCCATGGTTAACTGATTCAGTGTTTCAACCAGGCTTTTTATTTGATAACCTCCCCATGCTTACGTCTTTATTTTGATACATCTCTATATTGACTGAAATATATTCTTAAATACTTTTTTCAGGAAGGAAATGGACCTTTTACACCTTATGAGCTCTTTTATTTCTGATTACGTTTCTCTATGTTCACACCTAAATGACAGTTTGACTAAATAAAAAAATACTTGAGTCATGACTGTGTTCCCTCAAAAACTCTCTAGCCCTTTATATTAGAGCAAGTTAAATACTATAATAAGACACTGCACTTCTGAGGTTGACATTTACAGAGCCCATTGTAGGGGCCAGAGGGAGCCTTCCATGAGGTGAATCAGGAGCTCAGGCCCTTTCTACTGTCCCCTGGGGTCCTCTGCCAGACTCTGTGAATCTGGCTAAGGAGCAGAGAAAGGAAGAAAGAGGAGACTAGCAGCTCTCATGGCACATTTTAGGATCCAGAGCAGAAGTAGCATATGTCACTTCTATCCACAACTCATCAGCAAAAACTGGTCCCTGGCTCACCTATATTGGAGAAAACTGGGAAATTCTGTCTTCCTCTGTTTCCAGGAGAAAAGAGAAATGACTTGATAAACACAGAGCCCTGTCTGTGCCTCATGGCTGCCCTATTGCTCTGGGGCATTTGCAGAGACCTTGAGGGATATTTTAGTCTTAATTTTTGCAACTATATATTCAACATGGTTGGGTTTTTTCTCCTTCCAGCGTGTTCATAATACTTTATCTTTTCAATTTGAAAATGTAGCCAGTATGTATGTAGATGCAGTTCCCTTTAAATTTATTTTGCCTGCACATTTAGGACATTTTGCAAGACACATTTTCCTCAGTTATGACTTTGATTTTGTTTCTGAAGAAATTATTCTGGTTTATTCTTCAGCAATACCTGTAATTCCTAGATTGGATCTCCTCTCTTCT